GCCAGAGCCAATGCTCTGTTTGACTTAAAACAATAAGTGATAGCCACTCTATGAAACTCATCAGCATGTCTACTGATCACTAGGACATTGAATTGTAGATGATGTGAAAGTTGAGGATGACATTTGAGGCAATACGCCCCTGTTAGGCTCTTATATTGGTGGTGTAACAAATCAAGAGTTACTTTGCTTGAGCGCTTAACTCCGAACCTTCTAGAGGCTATATTATAGGCTTTTTCGACATAACGCTTTCTTTTAAATCACTTCTTAAACACACCGCCTAAAGTATTGCGCATTTCTTTTTAAATCTATGCATAGAAGCAAAGTGGTGGGCAGAAGTTTAATGGAAGTCAGAATACAAATGATTATCACTTCCAGCATGTATCACGGTGTGAAATTCGGCGAAATTTGGTAAATAAGCCTAAAGATTTACAAGTATCTGTAGCAATCACTCATCTAGGTCTCGTTCTCCCTCGATTATGGTCAACAACCGATGTTTTCATGAATTGCTTCATCAGATAGCCAATTTTACCCATGCATGGGATACTGCAGCAAGGTAAATTTATTTCTAGCTACATACATATTTTAAAGATACCTGTTCTCATCTGGCGCTCTTTCACATCAGCCAAACCGGCAACACTTGGAACACAAATAGCTCCCATTTGCAAGCTTCCAATGTTTAATAAATTAGACTAAGATAAAACGGCTATGCAAATACTTTCTGATAGGCAGGTGAGGTAGGTGACATAAAACAGCAGAAGATGAACATTTTGAATCCTAACCATTGTCTGCATGCTTGTGTCTGTAACTGGAGAGAAACAGCCGAAGTGGATTTCAATATATTACAACAAACAAGAAAACGGCATTAACTGGGGAAAACAGGACATGTCACTCAAAATTTGACACGATGAAGGTCATAATATGAAAACTTGTAAATCAAAGTGCAAGTAAACCCAACGTCTTTGCACAACTCTCGGTAATTCATTAGAGTGGATTCTGTTTGAGTGATGCATCCTTAGTTAAAGCAAACAAGCACTTTTGGGTTAAAAAGTGTGCTCAAGCAAATATATGTACTACCTAATACGTACAAATGGGCGCAAGATTATCCCGGTCAAGCATGTAATGTAACAATGCAAGCACACTTTATGAATGCTAAATCGGGTGAATTGCTGGGACTTAACTCATGTTTGCCTCCGTGTGGGGACATCAAAGAGGTGTGCAGGATTGCATGCAGAATGTGGTTTGAGTGGTCCCGATCCAATGCACGGGCATCCGTTGTGACAAGGTAAGGCTCTTATGCGTCGTTCGCGAAAATATGAGCCATATACACATTACTAGATAATTCAACAGTTCATTGAAGTTGAACTTTATGCAACCACTTGGTAGACTGCAGTAAAGGCAAATTTCAGACAAAGAATAAACATTGCTGATGAAGAGCTTTATCAACTTGGGCAAGTGGTAGCAATTAGGCCATGAGAATTTGGCTAAATGACTGGTTGGGTGGTCAATTTTCCACATTTATCAATTCGCATAAGAGGCCTAAGTGGCTAGTCAATGTTGCATGAGTTCCGCAAAATACATTAGATTACATGTGTTTGGATAAGTACCACCTTTAGGGCATTGATATTAGCAAATAAACGATTTAGACTAACAACTTTTCTTTGTAAAATTTGACACTGCGAAGTGGTTTGATTGAAGCCTGCCACGGTTGACCAAATACTCCAGAACGTATTCACATCATTAGCGAGTTCATCGTGAGTAAACTGCTAGTAATGGATCATGGATGACAAATGCAATCCGCCCACATTGTTAGCACAAACAGTCTCTTCCCGGGAAGCAAAATGGCACGCTTTGACGCAACTGAATTGTCCCTTTAAATTTTTACTTTTAAGAGCAGCAGTGTTGCCAACGTTTGCGAGGTATGTAACACTTTGCCTTGGAGAAAGCAATGCACTTAACGCAAATGTCAAGTTCTACAACTTTTAAAAGTATCACTGCTTTCACTGCCTTAATACTCAACAATAAATGATGGAATGTGATTTTGGTGATAATATTGTAAAGGAGGGGCATGCTTTGGTAAAGTAAATGCTATACCTAATGATACTTTCATAAGGAAAATTCAATCACATGGTTTGGTGAAGGCTGTTCCTGTAGGTGCTAACTCATAAGCATCACCTTTTTAAGGAAATAAGACAGTCATAAATTCAACTGCAGCGTGCATTGGATTCACTACAAAGTTTAACTCCTCTGAGTTGTATATGCATACCTATTGTAAGATTTTCTCCTTCAAAAAGAACAAAAAGTATGGTTCGATTAGATGACAATATTTCCCATGAACTACCTGCACAACTAACCCACATCTACGCTTTACTATATGTACATATACACAACTACAAAGGCCGATTGAAGTGCTGTGGCTACCTAAAAACTGAAAGTCCGATGTGCTCCACTGAATCATCCACTAGAATTCGGTAGCCATTATCGCAATTCTTCAATGCACACAAGCAGAACTTCACTAAAGGCCTTCCCTTCTCTTTTTGTGTTTGCGCTTTTGGCGCGCTCTTTCGTCTGATCACAACATTTGCCTAACACTGCTGTCATCGTTATATTCACACTAGTGACAGCCCATATAGTAACATAGATATAGTTGAGTGACGGAGACAATAACGTTTACCACTACCACCTCTCATTTCACTTAGATCTTGCATCTGACTTAACAGAACACACTTTGTCAAAACAGAGAGCCATTTTGTCATTACAAGTGAAATTGATAAAAATCAGATAGATGACATGTATGATCAAACCTAATCACCTTTCACCCCCACAAATGACTGGTACTGCTGATTTCGTGGCAGTAAAATGCATTTTGGAGAGGCAAAAGGATGGGTGCAGAGCCATGATCTAAGCATAACTGCGGAAAAGGAAACGGCGATTCATTTCCAAGGAGACTTTTGCAAAAGCAGCATATGTAGGTATACAATGAGCTTCCTAAATTCAATGCCCGCGTGCACCGGTGCCCTTCACCAGAGAGAAGAGTGAAGGTGCCTCGAACTATCCGGTGGAGACGTTGAATAGTTCTTGCTAACTTGTAATGGAAGCAAGAATCTGAGGACATGGTGGGCGGAGAAGGAATGGAAAAACGTAGGGAAAAGGAAAAGGGAAGAGGATAAGATGATACCAAGCAATGATGCCTGTGCACAGAGCGTGAGTTTATGCAGTACATTTGGTTGGTGAGTACTACCTTCTCAATTTCTTTCATCCACCTGTCCATCCATTCATTTACTCATTCATTTATCCACCATTCTGCCTATGTTTCTGTAGGAGGCATGAACTAAGGAATTAGTTGGAATCAACATGGTCATAAATGAACATTAAGGAGGCGTGCTTGATGTGGGCACATAGTTTTCCCTTGCCGTGTCCAGTTACTAATGCCACCAGCTAAGGTGAAGCCTGGGATAACACTTAAATATCAAGGAGGTAGAAAGAAGATATGAATCAGAAAAGGAAGCAATGGATATCATAAATAAATCATAATTTCTACATATTTTACTCGCCCCTGTACTTCAGCTCCTTAACGTGAGTGGAAGGTGGGGAGGGGCAGAGGTGATGGAGAATGAATAAGAGACTAACCACAAGGACGAACGAAAGTAGGAAGGAGGCATTGAGGGTGAAGTGAACCACGGGAAGGACGACAACAAGGAGGAATGCAATGAGCACAAGAAGCCATTTCACAGCGTAAATTATCGTGTCTCACACCTTTTTGGTTGTATTCTTCCCCTTAGAAACGGCAAATGGCACGTTCCACGCGGTTACGCCTTGTAGTGTCATGTTTGGTGGCCAAATTTAGACATTTACTTTAGCTGAGATTGGCCGCTAGAAACCATTTGTATTGTACCTCTTTATCATAGCTGAACATTAGACATCAGAGTGCATGCTGAAGAGGACTACTTCCGATATCGTGTCAATGCGATGGGAATATGCGTCGATATAGCGCTTGTTCTGGTTTCAACGAGTCAATGCTGGTTTGTCCATTATGCTGCCAAGCCCTATTGTGCTTTCCAGAACGACTCAGTGAAGTACATTGATGGAATAAGACATAAATTTTGGAAGGAGGAAGTGAATTTCATCCAAGGGATTAGCTACGCCTTATTCCTCCGGCTTATCATTAATTCTTGCCACAGCTTGCTGAACTCCAATACACTTTGGAAGGAAGAGAAGTGACGGCAACGTGACCTTCTGCAAATCATTCCAACTCGCCTATCACAAGAAGAAATAGAGAGTTAGTTCACGACTGAAGTTACGTGTATTCGCATGTACTTCGTGACTAAATGCCACTTCATTCAAGGCGACGGCTAATAAATCAAATTTGGACCCAGGCTAGGTTGCATGCAAATATAACCACGGTGACAGGGAGGAGTAGTGAGTGAAATCTGGAATGCCTTCCTTAAGTAGATCTTTCGACAAATAGTGATTGGTCTATGCATTGCAGTCAACTACAAGCATCGTACAGCCTTGTTGAGAATAAATACAGTAAATTGAGTGCGTATACCCAAATGCACTCCACAACGGGGATTCAGCTTCGAATGCAGTAAATTAGGCCGAAGGCCGTTCTGTCCAATTAAATGATGGTGAATATGGCTTCGGTCCCAATTAATCTGTGATGATTAAAGAGATAGTCAAGATGTGTGAGGAGGACTGGGTAGTTTTTGATAAGTATTTAACTGCACTCCTAACTAAAAGGGGCCATTAGCCTTTGTGAATTGCACTTATGTTTTGGCAACATAACCCCTTGCTCATGCTGATGGATTGTCAGCTACTCCGTGTGTAAAGGCTCTATATTATGCTGTACTGATATGGAGTACTACCACCTTCCCAATCTTGTTCCAATTCCATTCCACGTAGCTGGAAATTCTATGGCACTATGTTTAGCAGTACCCTTTAGGCAGTAATAGAATGGCGGTAACATTTCAACCACTGTACACAATTTTTAAATAGTGCTAAAAATGGCAAAATATCATCTCCAAAAATTAATCTTCCTCATACGAACTGGCAGGAGAGTGAAAGACGGTGGTGTGCCTCAGTGCAGTCGAACTGGCATGAGTATGAAAGTATGTAGACATTATTAGTTAAGAAAGCAGGAATTGTTAAATCACTGCAATGCTACTCACATGAGATACTGCTCAAGTAAACACATCTTCACATGGTGAAGACAGAGCTCAGCGCTTTCATGCGTCACTTTGTTCTTGTCGAGGAGCTTCGATTCCACTTTCACCAATATCCGTCAAAGCGGACAACTTGCCGATATTTAAAAATAAAGCGCATGTGTACCTCCGTTAGGGTAAAGAGGTACTCAAAGTTGCTTCAAAGAAATTTTAATGCGATTTTGCACAAACTGCATGAAGCAACAATCTGCCCACCGGGAACTGTTGTACGCCATGATATTGTGCGCATATCAGAGAAGAAGCCTTCTGATCCATTTCTAAAGTCGCATTCTGGATTTGTTTTCTCAAATAACTCTCAAGTGCTCATTCCCTTCACTTGTTTTAGCCTGTCAATTGGAAGGGATTATGATTCAAACCGTTGGTTGTTTCAATGTTTGAGGACGTGCATAAGCAGCAATTCATCGAAACACTTGATTGCATATTTAACAGGCACCTCTCCACTTGCATGAGGGAAATATTTTTAGCACCCAGTCTGATGCGGCTGAAAAACACTTGGATGAAGAGTAGTCTGAGCATGGAAATAAAATACTGCATAATAAAAATGCCCAAGTTTATGTTTTGCCCTTATAGATAGCCAGATCAACTGGTGCCTCACTCAAACTGCTAATAGTGTGTACCTTCCTCGTTAGTCGTTTATCTTTGGTCGAAGCTCATTGCGTGTATGTGTGCATCTGTATATGCATGTGTTTTCACCTCTCCTTAATCGACAGATATTCAACTCCATCTTCGACCACGTTGGAAATCATTTGTAGGCTGACTAGGCCACTAGCTGATTCAATGATTGGTTAAATGACCCTTCACCTCGCAAGTTTTACTCCTTACACCATCCGCCTCCCCTCTAGAGTGAGAGGGGCGCTAAGTGGTGGGCAGAAGAGGGAGCGAGTGAGGCAGGCAAGAGTGGTCCCGAGAGTGCAAATGGCTATTTGGAGAAGTAAAATATGCCAGAATGGAGGAGGAAGTAGAGGGAAGAGAGTCTGATGAGAAGTGGCACGGAAGATGGAGGCAATTCGTGACCGAAGTGTCCAGACATGAGGGTGGCTTGCGCTGACATCGACATTAACCAGTAGTCTCACGACACTTGCAAGCAAGGGAATGATGAACTTTTAAATCCCCACATTATACGGGTGGTGAGTTTTACTTTTTGGTTGGATTAGCTCATCCACTATCAGTTTACTGGTAACATATTGTTTTGGTGACATGTGTTTCCTGTCAGTTTGTGATACCTACTTGCACAGTGTTGTGTGAAACTGTTTAGATGGAGGCAGGATAGATATGACATGAGGAAGGCGACTACTTTCTCCTCTTTTGTAGGCCACAGAAGAGTTGTAAGTCATTGATTTGAGTGTAATTCTAGAAGGTCTCTGACCGATTGCGAGCATGCGAGCAATGTGAGCCTGCCTATAGCGAATTGCCAAAAGGTTTGAGGAAATGAGTAAAGCACCGGATTTCCATGCATATGAGAAAGAAGTGACAATTAATTTGCACTTGCGCAGCTTGTGTAGGGGACAGGGAGACTTTTTTATTGCTATTCAGAGGACGTTAGGTTATGGGAAGTTCATTGCTCCATTCGCTAGATAGTGGAATACATTAGGGGTATACCCAACTGAAAATCCTCCTCACTTCTCTTTGATGGGAAGATCACGTCCACACTCATATTCACATTCACGTTCATGGCACCCATTTCTCCCCTTCAGTGTAAGTGGCAATTTCATCTGTAATTTTTTTCGCCTGCGGTGTAACCAACGTTTTCCCTTCTACCTCATCTTGTGATGTTGAAATTAGGTCTTTCCAATTTATCACAACTAATTCAAATGGGGTAAGCAAACAAGTTGGCTTAGTTATGCTTTCACTTACTGCAAAATCTGCTTGCACTCAATGGCGCGGTTGGCACTCTTCAGTCGACCATAGAATCAGCTCATTCTTGTACTTCGGTGAACCCTAGCAGTGTTTGAGGCAAGTCAACGTCACTATTTACCCTAGAATTCAAATACTAGTGCTATCGACTCTGCTAAGATGGAACGGTTTTGAAATTGGTAATGCCATGCAGCCGAAGGTTCATAAGGCCTCCTATCCGAAATAGCAAACGATGAATAATTTTTCACCAGTCAATTCATTTTAAACCGGGTTTTATTTTGTGCTGGTCAGCAAGGTTGTGGAAAGTTCCTACTGTCTAAGCTACCAATGATTGGCAGACCTACCGCGCTGAAGGCCGGTAGCATCTTTGTGAAGCGGGCGAACCAAGTCAAGTCTTTTTCTAGCCAGTCATTCGAGACAGATATGCGGTCTCTAGTCACGCATCCAGCGCTCTCACACCTCAATGCAATCTCTTAGACTTTTCCAAAGTACATTTGCGAACAAGCACGTCTCATGCTTTGGACGGTGAGAACTTGCCTCTGCAGCTCGTCCTGAACCTGATCGTTCATTCCGCAATCCATACTTCAGCCACCAGTCGATGATGCTCCAGTCTGCTTTGGACGAAACCATTTGAATGTGTAACAAAACGGAGTGACTTATTTTGTGAGCTCTCCTCTCTATGGCATGGAATCTATGCTCACTGTTGTCTCGATATCGTTTGGCTGGTCTTGAAGCCGGCTCCACGAAATAATTGTCCTGTTGCCCCGATCTTCCTCACCGTCCTCTACATTCCAGGTGACGTTTATCTGCTTGTCTCTCCGTCTGTCTAACACAACTGATTAACTGCGCCATTACAAAAAGCAAATTTAGGTAAGGCGCATTTTTGGTAACACCTAATACGCCCCAAATGAAGGACTTTCCAGGCAAAGCTTAAAATACAACTTTTCTGCTCTGCCTTCCTGACTAATGAGATGCAGAAATTTGGTAAATGCCTCTTTCGATTGGACAGGAGACCCAATGACAGCAACAACATGCAATCAGGCTGGATGGCAATGACGGTGGTGACAGTGATGAGGCAAAAGTGGGTGAAGAGGAGACAGAGTTTATGAATAAAGTGATGCCATTAAACGGTGACAGTGTGCTCGATGACCTCATCTCCTCGCCTAACGCGTGGGGGAGTTGCAAAGTCAGTATCTGCAACAATACCTACAACGACGATTACAAACAAAGCTACGGATGTGATAGCAGGAATGAGAACGCAGTCCCTTCATTTAGTGACAGCGTCAACGTCATTTGCAACGCATTCATGCCCCATCTCGTCGACGCTCCGTCTATCCTCGGAGCCGGTTTTTACGATATCTAACCAGTTTGGCACACGTTTGCTGAATAACTTCTCCTTTTGGCATTTCACTCTTCAACACTTTGAGTACTCGTTTGGCATTGGATTACCTTAAACACCCTGTATAAGGCTAGCTGCAGCATTAATTACTCTTTCCCCGAAATACTTTCTTGCCTCTAAGTGGGGCATTTTTAAAAGTGACAGCAGCATCTGACTGTTTTGGCTCATTTAAGTTCCAGGCCTCGTTCATCTGCTTCAATTCATGTAGCAAAAAATGAACTTTTAGGCTTTATTGGCAAGCGAGTGGGCACTTAAATTTGATTCTCCACGTCTTTACAATATAACCCTAGCGTATCTCACACTAGAACTGAATGTGTTTACCTAATCCAATTACTATGTTTCGTGGTGACTAATACTACTCTAAGAGAGAAATGTCCACTCTGAATTTCAAGTTGGCATGTGGCTGTTACCATTGGTGCTGCGGACTCTAAGAGCCATTGCACCCTACTAGAAGTAGCAAAGCTGGGACGTTACATCTCAAGAAGATTCGAGGTCGGCGACTCGATTATACTCCCGAATTTAGATGACAATCTGAAAGGGGAGTTCAAAGGGGCGAAAAAACCAGTCTCCTACTAATTTTATGGATTTTTAAAAGAGAACTGTATTTACTCTCCTCTTGTTACACTTCTACACTTACTGCCTTAATTAAATCCTGCGAATCCTTGTTTTGAAAAGGGTGATTTTACCTGAGCCAGAATGCTGCGGTATTGACAGCCTACTGGATTGGTATTGAGTGATGCTGACGAGCAAACAGCCTACGTGGTTTTTCATTACCTACAGAGGTGCTGTTTAATGATGTAAAGGCGGAGGTGGAAGAGAAATATACTGGACCTGCTACAGCCGTTGTGTGGATCCACCTTTTTCATTTGTGGCACTATTAACCAGGCGTTACTTGTAGGAGGTACAAGTAACCATTTGTTGCTCTTTGCCACAAAAGAAGATCAACTCCTAAATGGATTTATCAGGTTGTTGAAAATCTCACTGGCACCAAAGTTAGGGAACAACGAAGGTGGACTGTTTTAGAATTGCGACGATAGACTGACATTAATTGTAATTGATATCCTATTTCTGATTTATTCCGACTGATCTGTGTGCTAACGTAAGGAAGGGAGCTTGACAAGGCACATACGGTATCTAGTGACCGTCGCCTACATCCAACCTGAAACTAGACTCTCATATTAATTTGTTTGACCAAATGAGATTCCATCGTATATATGATGCATTATTTCCTTTGAACAGACGTGCTTCCATGACCATACAAAGATGAGTGTTACAGTTGCCTTTAGACCTTACCATCCGTCTATGCGATCGCTTATTTAACTCTTAACACCTCTCCTACTAAAAAAAATTCCCCTTGTTTTATGGATCCCATGCTCCCAAAAATGCATTTTATAAGACATTGAAAATCAAATTTTGACATCCACGTGCACCCAATTTTCCTGATGGGAAAAGGCGGCAAGGTAAAGAATTCACGCCTCAAAGTCGCTAGTTAATTGGAAGATGATTACCTATAACTCTTTTTTCTGTAAAATACGCCAAAAGAATTGTCTTGTCAGTAGCTGAAGGAAGGGTCATCAAGACAAAATATGTTTTAAGGCTTCTGGTAGGCTTGAAGAACTACCAGGTTGACACATGAAGACTGATGAGACTTTTTGACATTCCCTTAGTCACCAACAGTGCCAAAGTTATAGCACCCCAAATCACAGTTTGTTTTGTAGTTACTCCTTGGCCGCCGTTAATTAAAAACACTATCACCAACTTGCGTGTCAATTTTCTCCTTATTCCATCCAAATCCTTGCTACCGTTGTTTCAATCGGTACTAAGAGTGGCTCAATTGCTTCTACCTAGAGTTACTGCAGAGAACTCACATCACGGACTTTGCTACTCACCTGAATAACCTAGACAACGAGGATGACCAGGGTTTCCATCTCGAGGCGGCTTTTGCCCAAATCCCATGGTTTATTTTTGCCATGCATCAAAGCATCAACGGCATTAAGTTACTGCTGCTGAACCATTCCATTTTACGAGCAACTGCATGCATCCGTTTTAACTCGCATCGTTCTGGCAGAATAAATTATTTCCTATGATGGATTACATCCTGTACCGAAATTTCCCCTATCCTCCCAAAAATCCAGATGTCAAATGTGGTGTCAAGAGATACACTGTTTTTCACGTATCCTAATCAAACACGTACATACACGATTCATCATCACCAAAACAATTTCATCAGCCTACACAAAAATGGGAGCAAATGAGAACAGACGTGGGAGAATAAGTTGAAATAGGGAACATAAGCCATGTTAATGGTGGCGTGCATGATGCCATTGCAGACACAGCTTCTCAAGCAACGCCCTTTCTCCTGCATGATGTGAATCCACTCTCACCGTTGACGCTGGTTGGGCCGTCGTCGAGCCCGAAAGGAAATAGGGAAGGTTTGGCGAGGTGGCAAGAGGGGTGTAATCCAAATTAAGGTTAGGGTCCACAACCTCAAGGGCCAATTCTTCACTCGTTGCCACTTTCAGCGCCTTTGCCGCCGCAATCAACACATCACGCGTGGCACAGGCGCCCTCCATTGTCGCTGAAGACGTCTGAGATGTCCCTCCTGCAGAGTCGGTGGTGGCAATAGTCGTGACACCATCAGCTTCAACAGCGGCGGTGGCAGACGTCTTCGGAAACAGTGGGATCCTCTCCTCATTAGTCCTCATAGAGACTTGATGGAAACGGCGGAGTAAGGCTCCACCGAGTTCAGCCCACTCCACTGCTTCGGCTAGGTGGAGAGGATCCTTGGCTATCGTGGTGGCTTCTGCGTCCAATCCCTCATGAAGGTCATTGGTCGAGCTTTTCAGTTTATTGGCACTGAATCGCCCGCTGCCGCATTTACGCCACGATAAATGATTACCTAGTTCACAGGGTAAGTTTACAGGGTAGCTTTTCTCTGTGATGCAGAATGTTGGTAGGTTATATACTTACCTAATTTATCCAAATAAATTATATCGGGATGTGATTTGAACCACTAACGCGAGTGCCTAACGTTTAAATCACATTGCCGTCAAATGTGGCACAGCTATCAATTCGGTGGTTGCATTTTTCATAAAGAAGGAGGACAATTGCCCCTCCACCAAGACTAAGCAACAAAGTGGCGTGATTAAGGAATTAGTTTTGTACCATTTACAAGGCAAGAATCTTATGTTCCTCTCGGAAGGCCTTGCAAAGTCAGCTTCAACTAATTAACTTATTAAAACATCTTTCCATCACTTTTATAGATTAGTCTCATCTAAGTGCATCAGACTTCCAAATTTCATTGAACAAACCACAATCGTAGCCCAGTAGATCAAAATACCGACTAATATATCTTACGTTCGGCTTCCGCATAGGCTACATCACCGGGAGACGCCGCTGAGGAGGTAGAAGGAAGGCAAGGAGGAGTTGGAGGGTGTTTATCTGGTTGTTGGATGCAACCACTACCGTAAGCAGCTTCGATGCGACTGCAACATTTCACTTTTCTGAAGCGGGAGATAGTTTTGAAGGGATGACGGCCTCGCTTTCCCAAGCCATCAGTATGGCGCGAGACATGGTGAGCTGTGTTCAGATCCAGTTGAGAGTTTACTGGATATAGAAGTGATTTGTAAAATTGTAGGTGCTGTGAAACGTTGACATCGTCCTTAATAATGCCATTTTCTTGACTGGCAGGCTGTCGCGAAGTTGGTGGTAGTCTAGTGTGTCCACCTTGGCTAAATTTGCGAAGATCTAAAGTGGAAGAGTTATTGGAACTCAATCCTAGGTCTTGTGGAATGTCCGAGGGAGGAGTAAAACTGCTCCTGTTAGTACTGACAATGGTAATCATTTTTTTAAACTGCAGCCATAAATTCACTTCCCAGTGTTGCTTTTCGATAAGTGTTATTACGAAAACCAGTCGCCGTCCGGGATGTGCTTGGTGTAGAACAAATAGCATTCTTTAGTAATTATCCCCAAGTAAGTCCTCCTCCCCATGCAATTCATTCACCAGAGGACACAGTATTAAGGGAACCTATCTGGATTTGTTAGTCAGGCTACACTACCATATTATATTTTAGGAAAAATTCAACTGAAGACTTGCCACAGCTGTTGCTGAGGAGTAATCATGGAGACCTTCAAATACGCCGCACAAATATATTGTGAATTGATAAAAGGGCTATCCTAAATTTCCTGGAGGTCATCTACTTCGACATTGGGTTCTGCTCCTACCATTCTGGTGTTACTAGCCTCAGCCCTCCCATATTCTACCAGTAAAGCTACTTTTAGACTTCCTAATCGTTAGATTTATTCTTTGGAGGGATCCTCTGAGAGCTACAGAGCAAAATGCTAATCCTTTTGGTAAACTGAAAACAGATGGCAAACTGTTTTATTGGCATGCAATACAGAACGTGTAACCTACTAGTGCAGCCGGCAACTTGACTGACTGCTAATCAGCACTCATCAGATTGTGTACCCATTGGGTTTTTGGGAATTTCGAAGCACCTTTCCCAGTAGAAAAGGTGATTTTTCTCTCAATAGTCAAAAGATGAGAACTGACCTTGCAAGTTGGGCTCCGTCTTCTCAGCTGGTGCATTCACGATGGCCTTCTGGGATTGAGATTCATCAAGACACGAAAGCACCTCCTCCGGTGAGTGGATTTGGCCTCGTGGATCTTGTTGTCGAAGTTGCACTTCGTCCAGGCAGTATTGTATTCCTGCCAACCTGGTAAGGAGTAGTAACAGTAATTCAAGATCCGACAGAGTTGAATGATCTGACTAAAGGAACAAAATGAACCAGCTGCTCTAAGCTGATTTTGCCACACTGACGAATCCTTCCATATCAGAGTTGTCCGGATATTAACTAAAGGCGTAAGTAGGGCGGTTTCGCAGTTAATAACCCACCTGACACTCATATTTTCGAGCTGCAATTCTGACTGTTTAATCTCACTGCGTTGCTTCCTCCGCCAGTAGTCCTCCACGCATTCCTCTTCAAAGTCGTGCAGTTCTTCGATCTCCACCGATGTCAGGAAGAGTTCTGCAGAATGGGTAAAATAGAGCAATTGAAGGTAAAATGCTGTCATGCCTGCTTGTAAGTACTTAAATTCTAAGCAAATGCAAGTTGTAAATGTCAAAATAACCCAGTTCTGTGTTAGTTTTCCCAAAGAACGCAGTTTATGAATACCATGAAAACATATATGTCACAAGCATAGTAAGGAGGAAAATCAAAATTAAGGTTTTTGTACTTACAAGTTACTGCTAACCTCCTCATGCCAATCAAAACATGTAAAATATTAAAAAGTAAAACAGAAGATTCCAAAAAAGGCAGCAGCACAATTGCGGGTCCATTTTTACAATCCTAGGCTAAATATAAGAGCGAAGTGAATAAGCTTTATCACCATTAACAAGTTATCAGCACATCAAATCCTTTGAACACTAACCTTAGCCTATTATTGAAGCAAAGTATAAATTCAGAGTAACTTACTTCTAGAAATTTTATTTAATTCCACACACAACATAATTACAAAAAGGCATTTTCTCCATCACTCAAAGACCTACTTCTCTTCTGCATAACTACAACCAGGTTATTCCGTGATATTTGCTTAAGGAATAACTCAAAGGCTTCCAATAGCTGCGGTGCAGGTGAATATACTTTACGCTCCTTGCTATGTGGACAAAGACAACTGTTGCCACAAACGAATTCTTGCCGGGTCTTATTGCAGAGATTCTTCAAAGTCGGCGCTGAAGTCGACTAGTTGGCTACTACGTTAAAAGAACAAAACCGAAGAACCACATGAACAGTGAACTGAATCTCAATAGCGAACCCACCACCGTCAGAACCTTCTACCATTCACTTCCAAATTGACCCTGGATAGCAAGCTAGACCCCCTAACAGTAAATACTGAATGCTATTTGCATATTTCAGGTAGATGATTATGAGCCCGAATAGACGGCTGTGCTGTGTTAAACTGTTCAAGCAGTGAGTGGAAACCAAACTGCAGATCCTTCTTATTACGCTTTTGAAAGGCCTTTTTAGCCTGCAATCAATCCAGGAGTTGGAAGTCAACACCAAGCATTGAGTTATTTTTCCAAAATAAGTCATCAATGATTGAACTTGGAAGAAGACGATGTCTGGGCAACATCGAAGCATCCACTTGGCAAGATGTAGGAAAAGCAGAGTCGTCATAATTAAGTGGCATTTACACATAGATGGTGTTCTTACACAGTGATGTAGCAGCAAATGAGCATCGAGATTGCTAATCCCAAAACAATCGACATGTTACTTACTCAGACCATCTGACTGGTGACCTGACGAGGATGTAGCGGCACTGGGCGCAAATATTTGTCCAACATCAAATGAGTCCTCTGGGCCTGAGGAATGCACCTCTGAAGTTGACGATGAAGACCATCCATGGCAAATATTTCGGCACCACTTCCGTACATCTCGACGACAATGACAACAACGCTTTGAGCATCGTAAAAAACAGAGGCGGTGGTGGTGCTTTCGACAACGTCTGCGTAGAGGCGAGCATCAAAAAATCAAATAAAGTGGCTGCATAAAGCGTATCTATCGTAATGTATTCTGTCTACCTATAGACGCCTCGACAGGCTGCGTAGATCCAAGAGATGATGATGAAGGGTGGCGGGAGCAGAGGTCTCGACTCGTATTCGATAATGATGGAGTAGCGGAGGTACTTATAAACAAGCTCTGATTGTACCAGTACACTAGAATAGATGCTGTTGAAGACAGCAATGATGACATTGAGTATGAGAACGATAGAATAGAGGAGGTAGATAGCTCCCATAACTGGCACCATCTGATAGAGGGGTGTCTCCTCCAGGTTTGCATCCCAGTTCGTGGCTGCAGAATAAAGAAAAATGGTAAGGTAGCCAATCAAGCCATCCTTTCTAAGGCAAAATACCAATTTCTATTGAATTGTCAATAGGCCATCAAATCAATGGTAAAGCATCTACGTTTTTACTTGCTGCTTCCTTGCTTTACCAAAGTATTCCTAGCCTCCATAGCCACATAAGTGTATGAACTCCTCCACCAGTGTGCATTAGTCTACATGCAGGGTAGGTGAATAAAACCAGCATGGTGCAACACTCACGATCAATTTCGGGAGCAACGATCTCGCCGTAGAGCATTAAGTAAGGCTTCAAGAGGATGTTCTTGATGCTTTCCGCAGTGACATGGGTGCGATTCATCACCATAATGCCTTCACGTATAGTGCCAAAGGCCACCAGAGGCAAAATGACGAGGCTCAGAAGTGGAATCATTGCCTTCAACATCTTCACAATGACGTAGATGTAGGGTCCCGAGAAGCGCCAAATTTTCATAAACTCGAGGAATTTCATCAACCTATCAAAATGCAGGATTCTTGGGTCAAATGTCTATTCATTGCCCTTGAATATTTTGTGCAAAGAATGAATAAGACATGTATTAGCTGGAACAGATCTAGTCCCTGTGTTTTGCTAAATCAGGCCGAATAATCCCTTACATGTTTAGATTGAGCAAAGCAGTACTCTTTCGGGAGCCTTACAAAGGAAAAGATGCTGGGCGATTTGGCAGAAGTTGAGGCCAAAAAGTGAAACAGATGTGACGTTGGCAGGGTGATTGCGTATCACGATTAAGAATAACTGAAGTAGGCGAGGTGCCACTTCCATCCACGACGACTCTATCACCACCAATAGCGAGTAGCATATGATCAACGATGACATTGGGGTAACTTATTAACCAAGAAAAAGGTTAACGATAGCATATTGAGAAGGATGCGCTTCGAAAAAGAAAATGAGATAATCAAATGGGTGTGCAAAAACAATGCCGTCTCTTTTTCCGAGTGGAGAAACAAAATAGTGCACACAGCCAAACCTGACAATGATTTTCATCGTATAGGAGCCACTCAAATGGTTGTTTATGAGCTGCTTGTGTGTGAGCACGGAAAAGATGCAAGGACTTTAGATTAGGGGTCTTTACCGTCAGCAGTCTGAGTGCTCTCGACGCAAGTTATGTGCATACCTCCCCATTATACTAGAATGCTAAAGCATACGACTGGTTACCATTCTTAAGTGCGTCATTTTGAACGGTTTTGAAATTAAAGTGAACATAACTACATGTTAGTGTTCCCACATTATACTGCCAGCTTCCCAAAAAACCAAAGCATGCAAGTGGATGCGTGTTCTAGATGGTTGGAGGATCCAACACGACATGGGCAACTTCGCCTTTTTAAAAGAAATTCCTAGGAGGTCGGAGTATCGATGCCATTCTTGGATTGTAGACATTCCCAAATAGTTAAAGCCGAAATATGCACATTATTTTACACCAGGAAATTTTAACAGCGTTTACTCAAAAATCCATTGTAAGAGATCATGTTTGCGAAAATGCAACAGTTGAGACTATCAAAACTACTTATTATTAATAAAGCATGGAAAATAATTCAGTTATGCAATTCATTCAAACACCAACCACAGAAGCTCCCTTCTTACAGTATCAACTCGGCTATATAAAGTGTACTAACAGTTTCTCTTACTGATTTGTCCCAAATAAGTGCCGCAAAGTGTTCATTGTAATACAGTGCATGTCGGAAGTTGGTGTTAATCTATTTTCGAGGAAATAAGCAGAAACACTCAGCAAAGCACTTACCAGAAGGCACAGCAGCAGACGAGAATGTTGCGTCCCCAAAGAAAGACGATGCGATTTTGAAGACCCACCATGCGTACAATCACCCCGAGGACGGAGAAGAAGCTAAGCAAGAAGTCATAGATGTTCCAGAAGGACGACAAATGCACCCGCATCTTCTTATGGTAGTTCCCGCCTGGCGATTTCGTCATCTGTTCCAATAATATATGGATAAACACTTCTGTATTACACTATTGGTAGGCTTTCCCAGGCTGTCCGTGAAATAAGCTCGAGTCTAGCATTACTGGCAACCGTCACCTGTGGGTGAAGAGGTGATTCATGATTTCTATACGAAGTTCGTCCCAGTCTTCACCGGTTCGGCATTCATCTATGTGAGGTCGTAGTGAAGCTACTTCCAGACCTCGTATGCTTAACAATGTCGACTGGAGTAACTCAGATACTAAGGTGGCGATCGCGTCAGTTGGCCCATTCCAGAAGGAGTGATTAAAATTGAGGTGGCTGCTGTAGATACGGAATCTGCTGAGACCCACGACAGAAGAGGTGTTGAAATCACCCTGACATTCGCCAAGTAGCCCAACTCCCAGTTCTGCATAATGTCTTATCTTCAAATTAGACTAGAAATAAACTAATCAGAATAATCCAGAGCGGAATCTATTTCGATGGCAAAGTTAAATTCTGTTTGAAGACTCGACAACTTCCTACTTTGCTGTAACGAAGTGGTAATTTGAAATGGTAAGAATGCCCGCCTAATTTGAGACCCCATTCTGCTTAGCAACCTGGTTTGCTGTTTTATGAACTGTCCATGAAGTGCGATCGGATTAATGAGTGTGTCCGCTGCAAAGCATTTTATATCCTTTAACACCACTTTCAAATTGTTCTCCCTTCCTGGTATAGTTATCACTCAACAGCGGACGTGATGTTTAGGGATTGTGTTCATATCGACATCGCACTTCAATAACAAGGAAATAAAAAGCATCCTATTGTGGTGGTGCTTCGTAGCCAATTGCGATTCGTTCAAAGCCTTCTGGCAGCCACAAGATCGTATGACCACAGAAAGCATCAAGGATAGAACTCCAAATAAAACAAGCATTGCATTAACATAATGACATTTGTAGTGATTATGCGAGTCTCGATTCTTCCCTTAATCATGGCACTTGTGCTAATAGACGAATCTGTCCTCTGCAGTTGTCGGGGGACAAAACTCGGTCATAACAATAAGAGTACTTAGGGCTGCTAGCAACGCAAAAGAAAGGCAACTCACCCTTATAAATTGATCGATAGCGTGAGTGAGGATGTGGAGGTAGATGTACGCCTCGAAGGCATTCAGCGACTGGTAGGGCACGCAGATAAGGCAGTAGCGGAGGAACAAGAGCAGGAAGATCAGGTAGAGTATCTAGGCCGAAAACAACAAACATGCCATTGTGGTAGTATTGTCTCTCAACAATGAATCAATCGTGGTAAAAGGATGCAGAAAAGATCGACTATAAGGCACCTAGAAATAGAGTGCAGGAAATGCCATAGACCAAATTCTGATAGAAGCAATGATCTTTGTCCCAGAGATTTTAATTTCTATGCGAAAATATAGAAGGCAATATTGCCTTACTTGACTATAACAGATTTATCTGCCTATGGAGATTAGGTGGTCACATTCCATTATAGAGTCTATAGTGATACGCCGACCAAGTCACTCTCAATAAAGCTCCTTATTGAAGTCTGACACTCGACAAAAATGGCAAGTTACATGAACAAAAGTCAGAATCAAAGAAAAATTGTTTACGGCCTTTTGAGTAGTGGCTCATCAGAAACTTACGAATGGTGGAGAGAAAGGTTGATCAAATCGGAACAGACTTGTATTGGTCCATGAAATATGACGAAAATGTCGATTTGATTAGGGGAGAGAGAATATTTATGCAAGGGAATTTAGTGTGAAGAAGGCTAGCAAAACAAATAAACATAGAACCAAGAAATTGTATAAATATGAGAATGATGCCGTGGAAGTAGGCGATGGGTATGAGTGCCTCCCACGATCATCGTGCATAAGCATGAACACTCACCACATGGAGATAGTATCGAGTCACGGGTGCTGAGAAGAACTTGTACACCTTTGTGCCCCAAGACAGTTGATGCTGCTTCAAACGCACATCAGCATAATCACCACAGCCACCGTTGGGGTAGTAGGTGTCGTAAGCGGCAATCCTCGCCTCCCCATTCAAGCCTTCACTCGGACTCTGCAATGGCACTGGCGCTACAGGGAGTGCTAATCGCGTCTCCGAGGGCTGACTCTTAGGTGGCAAGGGCGGCTTGCTGTCCCCAGAGATTACGCTTAACCTAATACAAGACAGGACGAGATTACACGCGATTGATTCTTCTAATCAGGTGGAGGAGAAAGATAATGAAGGAAAGGCAATTCGTACCGTGAGTTCCCCGGGGCCGCCCGCGCTGTCGCGAAATCCAGGTTGGTAGGACAAGAGTAGCGAAGGGCTTGGGAGGTCTGTGTCAAGTTTAGCAAAAGTTGACGTGGTCTGTGATGACGAATTTGAACCTCCTCTTCCCTCATTGCAATGACTCCAAGGTCATCCATGGATCTGCAGATGCGTACGCGGGTGTGCTTTTGGGGCGGCTGTTCGACCCCTGATACGAGATTCTCGGCTTCCGGTGGTACGCTTTGTTGTGTATTCTCGACCTGCTGTTGTGGAACAGCGCTCCTGTCTTAAAAAACAGTTTGTACTGAACGATCAAACGCCCTATCAATCAAACCCCTCTGTTATTTACATTGTTTTAACAGAGGCAAGAAAAATCACTAGGCCTAGAGTTATTGGGATTTGTTGATCTATCGTTAGTTCCCTGGATCAACGATAGCAATTTTGAAGGGCGTCTTGCTCATTCCTCAAAAATTTAATTGTTCTACTTTGTTTATTCATTTTCTCCATTCCTTTACGGCGTCACGCTGACTTTACACTCTGTCATTTAAATTAAGCGTGGATGTATGCGAAAAGAATGCGATGTTGCCAATGCTTCGCACAAAGTCACAGATTACATTCACCGGAACCACTAAACTAGGGTTCATTTTCTTTTACGTCTTAGATGGTGAAGTGGACCCTCTCCTTTTTTGTCTAGCATGGTAGTCTCCTGAAGCCTAAATGGCATTGCTAAGTACAAACATCTCCCAACAGAGATACCTTCATTTCCATTACCTAGTTGGATTTTAGGTAGATACGAAAGAGAAAACCAATAATTCACGTGACACTCGGATTTTATTTTAGAGTTGCGTAGATGCATGTTATCCAATAAACAGAGACATGGATTTCATGAATCACCAGCACCAAGCTGCAAAAGACTGGGTTTGACTATCCCTGATGTCAGAACAGAACCTGATAGTACACATTGCTACTAATGTACACGGAAACATCCTCTTGGTTTATTCCCTCACGATTTCTAGGGATGGGTGCCGCTACTGATGGTACGACGTACATGCAAGATCCAATTAAACCAATGTTAATGACATTTCGTATTCAGACAAAGTTGAAACTCAGAAGAGCTAGGTAATTTGTGGTTTAAAAGCAAACTTATTCTACGGTGAATTTGTGGAAGCGCCATTAAAGGTAGCGGGAATGAGAAAAGCATTACTGGCTTGCAGAAGGGCACGTAAAAACATGCAATAATTGAAAGTATGTGGATCCGCGTATTATGAAAGGGGTTGCATATAAGGGAATAGTAATGAGGACTTCACTGCTTCAAGAATGTGCATGCTATGCGTGAGTTTTAAGGCGCAAATATTTAACTGGCAATTCTACTTTAAATATCGGCTTTGAGAAAGGTTTAAACCAGATGCAGACAGAGTGGGAGAGAACGTGCACTTGGATCAACTCTACAACTAAACTAAGCCAAGGCTAATCAGCCCACTCTTCTATTGCCAGAAATCTGACTCTCCAAAGTGGAACAACGAGAAAGCAAGCAATTCACCCTTTGTTGGCAATAAGTGGCGCTCACCTCCATTCTCATTTAGCGAGGAACTTGAAGCACTGATGTTGTGGTCCTTGCCCAAAATGGAGACCTTGTCCAATAATACGGTGTGGTGGGACTTGTTCTCCACAATCCCGACCTCGTCCTGCAAAGAATAGCAAGAGGATGCTAATAAACTGTCTAAGGAGACGCAATCTCTTTTTACCAGGCTTAAGGTGGGTTTGCTTACCCATGGCAAGGTGCCACACAACTGCTACAAATCCCGCGCACTATCTCCAGACCTCCTGTGGGTCGATAGCAAAGCATATGTATCCTCAATTTCAGTTTTCATCGTTGTAAACGCTAATGAAACCTCTTAGTTTGTTTCCTCACTTTTTAAGCAGTAGTACTTACACCGAAATATACATTGATAAAGCGGTATGGGGAATAATCACTGCACTCACGAGCTTCAAGCTCTCTTCTCCAGCTCATTGCATTTCCCCTTTTTCCCATAAGGACTGACTTTCCTCCGTCTTTTACTGCTCAACAGAAAAACTAACATTGCACTTTGGTTAATGAGTAACGCTTTCCTTTGTTAATGTGTAGCGATTCAAAATTATAATTCCGATTTTGTCTCATGGAGACCTTGCTGCTGTTACCAACAAAAGTGTCCTGCCTTAGCAGACATCTTTTCTAAAATGAATCATCAGTAAAATTTCTAATGCTCAAAATTCATGCAAAATAGACAGCTAAAAGCCAGAGCTCTGGTGCGACAGAAGCTGGCTAATAGGGACGAGCTGCTATGGCTTACAAAGCAACAGGAAAAAACGATCCTCATGGGCAAGTTGGATGCTTTAAAGCATATTTTGGAAAGGCTCACCTGGAAGAATCGATTTCTCCACAAAGGCCCAGACGTGGTGCGTTGAGGCTGTGTCCCCTCGTCATCCTTGATGTTGGAACTGAAATGGGCAAGACACGGCGTGATGTGCAAATGCTGAGCTTGGCGTGCATTCGTCATTAGATTTACAGGCCAATTAATCTGAGGGGCCGGCTAAAGTTATGCAAGCTAACATCGCATTATGTAATCAAGGCCGGTTGTACTTCAAATTATGGGTCTTGTGCCGCCCTTCTATGATCGTGGATCTGCTGATAAGGATTGCATGGGAACTCAAAGCTCACAAAGCTCATACGAGCTGATTTAACACATCTATGCGTCCCGCTATTTCCTCGTAATCAAGATCAGCTCATCACACAAATATTACTTCACAATGTGATGGTTGAATTGGAAAAATGTGATAGTCGAGGGTGAGAGGTAGTTCCAAAAAGATGTTGCTAATATGCTTATACCTAATGAAGAGCTATAAGCCGCTTTTACTGTATCTATTATTCCATCCCACTTCATAAATGCTGTAAATCATTGTGACAACCTTAACGGTGGATCACGCATCGCAATAAAGTTTGCTTAAGACAACACTGGTGGTAGCTGTTGCCTGGGGTTCAAAATTCTGATACCCAGGGGAAAAATACCGCAGCTTTAGAAATGGTAGTCAGGGAACAATACTGCGGTACTTTTGTGGGAAATGTGCCATCCATTGAATGGACCTTAAAAACTGCTCATCAGAAACTGAATAGGTGAACTTTTAATTATTGCCTGCAATACTTCTGCGTAGGGCCGCAGTCAGTTAGCTTTGTTGTTTGGGTTTGTGGAACATCTTAGACACTCTTTTCGGAAGATTATTTCTAGCCTGATGGAAATTGTTGTTTGGTGGTTGACAGGCAATCTGTGATAAAATATTTATGGACTGAGATATTTACGATGAAATATGGTAGACTATCTTCTCCTAATTGCAAAAAACACCTAAAAAAACAGAGTTTTGTAGAGTTAGCAGATTAAAAGACCAGGACATGTGCCTAATTTCGCCAGTAAACTAAGCCTGAGAGTATATTTGGGTCCGTGAAATGGACAATGGCAGAAATAACCACCCAAGACTGAGTTAGCGAATATGCTGAATGGGCTAGGGTATTTGCATATGAGTCTATTCCCAATTAGATGTGATCCGAGGGACCCGCTCCTCTAAAGGCATATGAGTATTGAAAAATTGGTGCAGAACAAAATTAGCTAAGTAAGCCGGTTTCTTTTCCAAATTCATACCCATATGGTCACCAAAGTCAACAAAGTAGAAGGGGTCTTTTCAGACCAATACCTATGGCATCATGGCTAAACACGATGAATAACCCACCACCAGGGGTACCAGTCCTACAACTCAGCATAGACCAAAATAACTACCTTGATAAAGAAGAGCGTCTAGACGACGACGGCGATGATGTTGTTGTCTTAAATTCCAGGAAGTTTGATGCAAATGGAGCAAAGCAGAGCGCAATGAGTGGATACAGTGGCGGCATCGAGAGACCGAGTAGAATAAGCATAATTTTCGCCGAGATAAAGCGATCCTCGCGTAGTCCACCGTACCAAAGGTCAGAGAGAATGGTCTGTGCACAAGGGTGTGCAATGAAGGACTTGGACTCGCACATGTATGCCAGAGAGAGACATGTGTTGCGAGAGAAGTTGCACCGCTCATATGTCAGCAGGCGACGCGCCTGAGCAGAGTCTTGACGGTAACATTGTTCTTGTAACTCTACCGCCAGGTTCTCAAAGTCTCTTGAGACCCAATTGAGTGGGTGGGAAAAAGGAATCGTACTACAATGCTAGCTTTTGTGTCTTACCATCACTTACAATACAATACAATACCATTCAAATTTCGGGGACATTCACTGAAGGGATATTCACATCAGACCTTTCCCACCCCAGTATTAAAAGTTTTAATTTCCACATTCCCTCATATTGCTCCACAGGTTAAGCCGAAAAGCACATACCAAATTCAAAAGAGCATCCAGATCATGCATACTATGATCGACTCCTTAATATCACGGTGTTGACTACCAGTGGAAACTATTTCCAGGCGAAACAACTACACAGAGAAGCAGTAATTACCCTACACATGTAAGTCTTCTAACTCAGCAATCACTTTTAGTAGTAAAGTTATTTGCACTAAGGCTTGAACTAGACTGCTAAGAAGGAGAGGACTTACTTTTCCTGAGCGTAAACAACCTTTATAAGTTCTGTTCCCACCTCCGCGTCCATCAATTTGCGCATGCCACGGAGGATCCGCACAGAAAGCAAAGCCTAGAAAGGGTGAAATAAACGGTGTTGGATTACGCTACTAGCAAGAAATTATATGACTGGTAACGAATCTACATGAATAAAACCTTTCAAACCTAAGCACACCGATCTTTTTCCTCTATACTATGCAACACAATACCAAGGTCTCAAGACAAATACAGACGAAGATATATCTGAGATGATATCTTTCTGAAATAATAACAGTATTTTGTGACCTCAAATAGCTGGATGAATGGGTAGATCTGGGACATGTGGGTGGATGTTCAGACAGCAAAACAGAAAAAGAAAGTCTAAGGACTGTTTACCTTAGCGATCGCCTCCTCACCCGACAATACCATGAATTGAGCCAAAGAGAAGTGGGAGGTGAGGAGAGCCCACTGCAGCAGTTCGGTGTAGGGATAGCGGAAGCAGGCCCTGTCGGTACCACGTCGCTGCAGTCGGTTTCGGAACCAGTAATTTTATTTTAAGAAAATTTGCGGCGTTTCTCCTTTCTCATCAAAAAACATTTGACCGTCTACTTTCAGGTCTATATACTTCAAAATCAAGCTCAACTGACCCCTTCCTCTGTAAGAAACCCATAGGGATTCTCTGAGCGATATGCGTGCTGATATCCATTTCCGATCACCTTCTCCAACATTCCACCGATTGATTGAAGAGCTTCGCTCTACAACTCACGGGAAATTACTTCAATTACAGCTAATTACGTTGCAACTTTTGATGCAGCATTATAAGATATTCAGAAATGATTTAATCAGACAGCAAATATAGCTTGATTAGTTTGAGAATGAGGCAACACTATGGTGCAATGCTCACTTGCCGCCTATTTAATCCAAAGAGGCTACTAATTACAAGCGTTATGGACGGACTTTTATATTGCCAC